ACACAACTAACAAAGGAATATGTGATCAGTTCAACTCCAGTTTGTCATCAACTCTAGTTAAAACACTGTCTAGTCAACCTTGTAATGGGTCAATATTGAACAATATTTTAACTTCCTGACACCATTTCCAAAACTTGGACCCGAGTGTTGAGCCATTTGGAGACATCTCTTGTCTCCTGTCCTAACATCCCATGAATCAAAATCAGAATCAGAATCAGAATAAACTTTATTGTCATTGCACCGAGATACAACGAGAACATGTACGTACAGTCGTCCGAAAGAGGGGCAGAGTGCACGAAGCTGCTACTATAAAAAGCGTGGCCTTCTTATTCTTGTTCAGAATATTATTTTGCTTAGATGAGAAAAGGGAAGAAAACATGAGGAGACACGGTATAAAAAAAAGGACCTCTCACTCCGTGTCCTAGACAGGGCACGATTTGAGGCATTAAAAAAACCTACCACAGCAAAGCAACATAAACAGACGTTATACATGAACATATAGGCGGTGAAAACATTCCATTTTTAAGGGAAAGTCGTAGCATTGTCCAGATAAGAGGTGTTATTCATCATCAGCTCGGTTGAGGCTCTGTCACATGTCCACGGCCTTGGGGAAGGGAGGGGTGAGGAGACAAATCATCTTTGTTATTTTCTAAACATGCCAGGAGGAGTTGAGATAAGTCCGGCGTCAAGGCCACAGTTTGGGTCAGGCAGAACTCATGAATTCTTGTTTCTGCCTTTTAAAGTCTCGCTGGTATATATTCCTCTGGTGGAAACTCCATAACAGCCAAACTGATCCTTTACGCCAAAAGTCGAGCTCACAGCTTCTCCAAGATTATTCCCACCATTCATGAGTGCTGCCAGAAAGTTCACAGTCCTGATAACAGCTGCTCCAGCTCCCTGCTGCAGCTCCCTAAATTCAGTCTGAGCGCTGTCGAGTTTCGACACATCCACACAAATTTGTAGACAATCCAGAATTCACCAACCAAACAGCAAAAAATGAACTGACACATTTGAATATTGCAGCAAGAATTTCTTGTTTAAGTTCAGAAGAAGTTGGTTTTTAGAGTCAAGTCTGTCTCTTTAGGGAGATCAAATCTGTCCTGTTGTATCCTGATGCATGCTCAATAATCCAGGTAGAAAAATTAAAAAAAGATAAGTCTGGTCCTCTGGACATTCAAAAAACAAAACAAACAACGATGGTCCTCCTTGATCATGTGAGCAGCTGGTTTTGGTTGTCAGCGGCAAACTGCTTGATCCAATACGAGAAGGTGCTATTTATAAGACTGAGCTGAATACAGCTCCTCAGACTGAGGAAGTCTTTCGGATGAAAGACGTAACATATCTACATTTTTGTTTGTTTTGTTTTTTCAGTGTCCAGAGGACCAGACAACTTTTTTTTAATGTCCGGTTGTACTGAATAGTCTTTCAATAGTCTTTCAATAAGACCATGGGTGGCACATATCTTCTGGCTGACTCTCTGTAGTGGAATCCATTTTGGGTGTGTTAGCAGTGCTGTGGGCACGCCCAGCTCAATGACGTATATTCTAGAATATACGTCATTGTCCCAGCTCTTCTTGAAGGTGGGTCTAATGTTATCTGCCAACTTTGCAGTGATTCAATGGACCATCTCCCCTCTCACCATTGGTTACTTTCAAACGAATAAACAAAACAAAAAACGCAACATGAATGTAACTTGTAACACAGCGCATTATAGAAATGTAGTGTAGTAGAAAGTACCCATGTTTAACTCTACTTAAGTAAAATACAGATACATAAAAAAGTACTTAAGTACAGTAACAAAGTACTTGTACTTACAGTGAGGAAAATAAGTATTTGAACACCCTGCGACTTTGCAAGTTCTCTCACTTAGAAATCATGGAGGGTCTGAAATGTTCATCTTAGGTGCATGTCCACTGTGAGAGGCTTAATCTTAATAAAATAAAATAAAATCTGGAAATCACAATGTATGATTTTTAAAAATAATTTATTTTTGTGTTCCTGCTACAAATAAGTATTTGAACACCTGGCAATCAGCAACAATTCTGGTCCCCAAAGACCTGTTAGTCCCCCTCTAAAAAGTCCACCTCCACTCCACTTATTATTCTAAATTAGAAGCACCTGTCTGAGGTTGTTATTTGCATAAAGACACCTGTCCACCCCACACTATCAGTAAGACTCCAACTACTAACATGGCTAAGACCAAAGAGCTGTCCAAAGACACTAGAGACAAAATTGTAGACCTCCACAAGGCTGGAAAGGGCTACGGGGCAATTACAAGCAGCTTGGTGAAAAAAGATCAACTGTTGGACCAATTATTAGAAAATGGAAGAAGCTAAACATGACTGTCAATCTCCCTCGGACTGGGGGTCCATGCAAGATCTCACCTCGTGGCGTATCAATGATCCTAAGAAAGGTGAGGAATCAGCCCAAAACTACACGGGAGGAGCTGGTCAATGACCTGAAGAGAGCTGGCACCACTGTTTCCATGGTTACTGTGGGTAATACACTAAGACGTCATAGTTTAAAATCATGCATGGCACGGAAGGTTCCTCTGCTTAAATCAGCACACATCCAGGCCCGTCTTAAGTTTGCCCACGACCATTTGGATGATCCAGAGGAGTCATCGGAGAAAGTTATGAGGTCAGATGAGACCAAAATAGAACTTTTTGGTCTTAATTCCACTCACGGTGTTTGGAGGACGAAGAATGATGAGTACCATCCCAAAAACACCATCCCTACTGTGAAGCATGGGGGTGGAAGCATCATGCTTTACAGGTGTTTTCTGCACATGGGACAGGACGACTGCACTGTATTAAGGAGAGGATGACCGGGGCCATGTATTGAGAGATTTTGGGGAACAACCTCCTTCCCTCAGTGAGATCATTGAAGATGGGTCGTGGCTGGGTCTTCCAACATGACAATGACCCAAAGAACACAGCCAGGAGAACCAAGGAGTGGCTCCATAAGAAGCATATCAAGGTTCTGGAGTGGCCTAGCCAGTCTCCAGACC